AGACTAACGAGTAATAATCTTATTAAGTAAAGTAACTAGTAAGAAAGTATAATTTAAGTTAACTATAACGAGAGTAAATAATAAAATCTATCTATTCTTATATCCTTATTACTTTCAGTCTTACTATCTCATCTATCTAGCTTTGGCGAGATGGTTAAGATAGCACTGCTATCTCTTTATGCACTGCCATCTCAGATAGCCGGCCTTAGCGAGATAGCATATTACGTGACTCTAAGCTCCATAATAATCTTTTACCTTTTAACGTGGACGTCCTTAGGCCGTCGGCCGTCTCGTTATATATTAAGGGGAGAATCCTTCTTATTACGTATAATATTACCTCCCCTCTTAGGGCTATTATCTTAATACCCTAGATCTTCGTTTTTCCGTTCTAGCCCCTTGCGTCGTCGCGGCGCCGTGTGCATATAAGGTCGGTAGTGTTAAGAGTATAGCTCGAGTGGAAGTAATATAAGACTTCTGGTGTTAAGCTTCTTATTAGTTGGTTTTTGCAGATAGAGAGACAGTATGCAATAGGATAGTAGCTTAAGTAAGTAGAATAACTCTGTATATTGTACTTATACTCAGAACTTAAGTTAAACACATTAAGCTATAAGGGCTTAATGCCTACTACTATATACTAGAGCTTTATGCAATATACTTAGTTACTTAGTACTACTAAGAAGTACTAATTACTAAGCAACTTGCAGGTTAATATGTAGAGTAGGCTGGTAAACGGGTACTCCCTACTATAGGGTTTGGTAGGGGTTAGGTTATAGTCGCATAGACCTTAGGTATAGGTTAGGTTAGGTTGTTAAGACTTCGGGTGTCACGGTGCAGGTTCACGGACAGAGAAGGCAGGCACGTGTATAGGTTCTATTGCTACAGTTAATTAATAGGCTCTTACTACAGGTAATATAGAGTAGAAGATAGGATATAGCTTAAGGAGCTCTCTAGACTATAGTGCTATAGTTTTATAGAATCTAGGTGCTTAGGCCCGTACCTAGAATCTACTAGCAGCCAATTAGAAGAATACGCGCTAGCTACCTTACTAGCGCTATAGCTCTAATGGCTATCTAAGGAATTCTAGCCTTACTAGGTATCTAGAAGCTACTAGTCCGCTACTATATTAGACAGCGCTATAATAGTACTCCTCTCTCTAGATAGAGCTCTATTAATATAATTACTTAAGCTTAGTAGAGTAATAGTAATAGAAGTTATTAATAATCTTTTGTATTTTCTCTAAGTAACTAGTAGAGACTTTAGTTAGTTTATTATAGCTAGCCTAACCAATATGAGGCGCGAATCGGGGTGCGATTCGTGCCATATTAGGCTTAGCGTTAGGGTTTCTATCCGTATCTGGCTATTTTGTACCC